CGAGTGCCCAGCCCTGGCTGGTCTGGCCCAGAGAATAGAACGTTGGCCTGTGGACGGAAGGATCCGTGTTCGATTCTGATCAAGGGCACACACACGGGCTGTGGGCTTGATCCCCAGTAGGCGGCATGCAGGAGGCAGCTGGTCAATGATTCTCATCACCGATGTTTCTCTCTCTTTTCCTTTCTGAAATCAATAAAAATATGTTTAAAAAAGTAAATGAGTGTCCATTAGTGTGGGCTAATTCAACAGTTGTTCTTCCTTTCAGGTTGGACTTCTTTAGAAAAGAGTCTCTGATCTGTGTCCCTGGATCCCCAGCACCCCCTGCAGCCTGCCCGCCCCCATCCCAATCTCTTCCTAATTAGCAGACACTGCTCGTTTCCCACAGCCTAACGACAGGGGCAATGAAGGTCACCAACAGGACTGGGAAAGCCATTTGTCAGCCTTATTGTCTATCCCACTGGGAGCTGCCCAGAGCTGAGGAGAAGGCTGCCCGGCACAATATGTGAGTTTTGGAAGGACCAGACCCAGCTCCGAGATCAAACAGCCCATTCTGATCGCCTGACACAGAACTGTGGGGAGGAAGCCGTGTCTGGGTGAGTGAGACAGCGGTGCCCCCAGCAGGCCATCTCCCCAGGGCAGAGATGGTGGGCACTCATGAACCACCCACAGGGGAAGACTTTTTCCCCCAAAGCTGAGTCAGCCATGCACCCCCAGCCGTCTCCCCTCCTCCAGCAACTTACCACAGGCTTTTAAATCTGACAAGATGAGGGGATTTCATGTTTTCTAAATGGGCTTTTATATACAGAAAAAGATATTCAGAAGTTACTGTGGTTTGTTAAGAATAATATTAAATTTATTCAAGTAAATTAAACCTAATTCTTCCTTAAGCTTTTGCATTCAGCTTTATTACTTTATATATAATTCTAGTAAATCTGACCATCACTTTTAGGGACCTTTAGCTAAAACTGGTCCCATTTACAAAATTAATTAAGCATTAAACATTTAAAATTGTATTTATAAATTTAATATATTCTATTAATGTATTCTAGCTTATCTTGTTAAATTATTTTTTTGTTGTTGTTAAAGTAACTCATGCACATAATTCATAGCCAAATAGTAAAAAAGCCTTATAACAAAACAAAACAAAAAAAATGTAGTTTCCTGCCCTTGCCAGGTGGCTCAGCTGGTTGGAGCAATTCCTGTGGGTTCAATTCCTGGTGGGGTATGTACAAGAGGCAACTGGTCGATGTGTCTCTCTCACATCTATGTTTCTCTCTCCCGCACCTTGCTCTCTCTGTCTCTCTTCCTCCCCTCTCCCTTCTTCCTTCTCTAAAATAATTTTTTTAAATGTAATTTCCCTGCCTCACTGCTCACACTACCTGCTGTTTTTCTAGACTTTTTTTTTTTAATATACACTCCTCCACATTTCTCAATAATATGCATATGCTATTAACTTTTGGTAACTCAATTTGAGTTATTTCTGCTGACCTATAATAACAGAAAAGGATTTTGCTCTCATGCCACCTTCCTCTTTGCTTCTCCAGATCATTGTCTCACTACAGCTATATCAAGGTCTTTGGTTGAAACAATCCTCAGTGGTTACATTATGTGTCTATGAGGTAAACGTTATTCTCAGCTAGGCATCGTAAGACACTATGATTCTATTTCTTTTTTTGTTTGTTTGTTTGTTTTCCCTGAATGTAACAATTGCTTGCTTTTTAAAAATTTGCTTAGGGGTTTTTGTTTGTACATTTTGCTTTTTCTTCCAATTTCCACAAAACTCAGTTCAACATTTCATAAATGTTATAATGTCAGGATCTAACACAGCATTTTCCCTCTTGGAGGCCTCCCTCCTGGAGAGTCCCATTCTCTGGTTCCCAGGCTGGTCTAGGCCTACTGCAGAGTGTCACCATGATTCTCTGTACTGAAATTCCAAGAATTCCCTGTGTCTTCTGATGAGTAAGATCCCTGTTCCCTGTATGGATCTCATGTCACCCTCCTTCTTGGTTTACTCCCCAGTTTTGTAGGAGCATTTCCTCCAGTTGGTTGACTGATTTAGAGGGTGGGGATAATGACCAATATGGTGATGACAATCCATCCACCTCTTGAGTCTCACTGCAGGGCACCCGATACCTCCCTTCACCACAGTCCTGGAGATTCCTTGCACCTGTGCCTTATGCTACACTCCAGTTTTCTTAACCCTGAATAGTTTATATAATAGAATACTTCAGACTTATCTCCTATTTAAATCCTAACCATTCTCAAATGCCCAACATTCTATCTAACACAGAGCCAAGTGGCCCACTTTCTCACCCTAAAAGAAAATCAGAATATAGAAACTCAACATTTTCAGTGTGTCCTTACAGGATGGACTGTAAATTTCCTGTTTTGGTGATGTACATTCCCCACTTACTTCCCAAGAATGTATGCATGGTAGCTAAATCTTCTGATATTTCTGTGTCTGGAAATATCTTCTTCCTACCCTCACATTTAATTGCCATTTGTCTGGATAGAAAATTCTAAATTGAAAACTGTTTTTCCTCTAAATTTTGAAGTCATTGTTCAGTTGTCTTCTAGTTATATTATGGCTGTTACAAAGTTTCATCCAGTTTCAATTATTAATTTTGAACATTTTTTATATTTCTTGTTAGCAGCTATGTAACCCCACAGTGATGATATTCTACATTCTGTGCTTGATATGGACTCTTATGGTCCATCATGCTGGTAATGTGATGAGCCCTTCAAATCCAAAAATTCCTGTCCTACAAATCTAGGAAATGTTCTTAATCATTTCTTTGATGATTAATTGAGCTATTTTCCCCCCCTTTCTGTTTCTTTCTAGAACTTCTGGTATTTGGATGTTGGTTGTACTAAGTTGGTCATCTAATGTTTTTCTTTTATCCTCTTTTTTCCCCCCTGCCTCTATTATTTTGCAGATTGTCTGGAGGAATTATTCACCTTTATTTCTTTTTTATTTTCTTCTTTCACCTGTGCTATCCTGTTTTTCATTTCCGTGGACCTTTTTTTTTTAATTTCCTAAATCTTCCTTTTATCCCACCTTGTTCTTGTTTCATGGATGTAGTGCATGTGCTTGTTTTTACTTGTTGCAAGAATCACATTATTTATGTTTCCTTCCCCTAGTGGTCTCTGCTTCCTCCCACTCACTGGTTTGTTTGTCTTGGTCTCTGTCATCCATAGTAGAGCCTTTTTTTCAGATGGCTAGCAAACCCTGTTTGACAGATGGAAGCTTAGCTCTCGGTGGCTGCTGGAACTGAGTAGGAAGAATGACTTGGTGAAGGTGGGAGCGGGGGTTCTGTGGAGGCCTCAGCACTCAGCACGCCATGTGCATACATTCATTTATTTAATCTACTTTCTTTGGCACAGTGCTCATGCTGTCATCTGTGCCTTCGTACCCTCCAGTCCAGAATCCCTCTGTTTGATTCTGCTTAGAGAAGAAACGTCCATGTTTATTCTGCCAAGGATGGAGAGAGGCACTCAGCTGGAGGTTTGCAATGGGAGATGTGATCTAGGGCTCTAACTACTTTTAACCAATGGTCCTTTTTTGACCACTACCTCCACCTGCTTCCCCAGTTTCTGCTCTGAGTTTTTTTTGAGGGTGCTATGGTTTAGATCAGGGTATTCTTGGCTTTCTCCATTTCAGGCTTAACATTCCAGCTTAAGTTTTCTTGCATCTGCTAAGTAAATTAACAGTCATCCATCTGCTTTTCAGCTTCCAGAATTTATTGCCTTTGTCTCCTTGCCTTTTCTCTCCATCTTTATGGCTTCTGTCTTAAAAAAAAAAAAAATCCTTTGCTATAGCTTTTCTGAAGTCTCAAGAGAGAGGGAAGTGATATGGATGTTAAATCTACCTTCTTTACCATATTTTAGCCTTTTGAAGCATATCAATGGTCTGATTTAGCTTATAAAACCAAGTACTTAACCCTTGTAAAGCTACCAATTAAACTTATAAATTCAGTGAATCTTAATTTTTACATGTTCCAATACTATTTATAAAGTAACTTCAACTTAATATCACAAATTTAAATAAACTGAAGTACACCTATGAAATTAGAATTACCAGACATACCTTTATTCTAACAAGCTAAGTTATTTTTAACCTTTGGAAATGATCCAATATTCACAGATTCCTTAATGCAAAAAAATATTAACCCTTTGCACTCCGAACCATTCTGGACATTGCCTACCAGCTACTCGACGCTACTTTGCAGCGGACACATGCGTTGGATTAACTCAATTCCCTGTAATCACTAATAAACTGCAATGTCCCCCCTGAGGGGACATCCGAGTGATATGCTAGAATTCCGATGTCCCCTGAGAGGGGACAGCGGAGTGCAAAGGGTAATGTGTTTTTAGTTTTAAAATTCTACGCAGGATTATATATGTGAGGTTAAAAGATGCAAACTATATAATCCCAAACAATTTTGGGATTGTCTCCTCAAATGTTTTTGGGTTTGCTGTATCCTTCCTTGCTGTGATTTATTAACTACAGAAGAGGCTCCTCGTGGGACGATGACTGAGTTTTTGCCACAGCACTGACGGGACACATGGATTCCCATGTGTTCCTGAGAGGGACCATTTCTCAATTCTCTCATCTCTTCAGGCAAATTTGCCACATCTATCATCCTGCTATCCTGATTGAATTTTGCATTTCTTTGGCTTTTAAAATATTTAGATTGTTTTTATGTTTACCTCTAAAAATCTTTGAATCAGAGGAAATCCTATAACTATTTCATCATCTCCCATTTAGGACAATGTTTCTTTTAGGAAATAAAATAAAATAACTTCCAATTACCCTCTTGAAATCCTTCTTGGCCACAACTTCTAGGGTTAGTCCATGGACATAATCAAAGACCAAAACTAGAGAAGCCAAAGGAAAAACCAAGGTTCAATAAAAGCAAAGTGTCTGAGGAGATTTGATCTCTGCCGCCTCCTTTCACATATAATCTCAGGAGGTTCTGTTACCAAATGTTAAACGTGCTGTGCTCACTTCGGCAGCACATATACTAAGATTGGAACGACACAGAGAAGATTAGCGTTGCCCCTGAGCAAGGATAACACACAAATTTGTGAATCACTCCATATTTTAAAAAAATGAATGAATGAATGAATGAATGGTAAATAAAGCGGGCGTGGCTGGGCTGTGAATCCACTGGGGCTTCCCCCTGGAGGAAGGTGGGAGCACACAAAGGGAGGAGAACGTGCTTGTCTAACTGTGGGGCTGTGACTCAATATAGACCAGAAGTGCGCATGCCAAAGGCTACCTCTGATGTCACCTTCAAGTGAGCCTCAAGGTGAGGGGGAAGGCTCAATGGAAAGCGGCTTCACAGATGGCCAACGAGGTCAGAGAACAGCCAGGCCGCCAGCACTGATTTCCGACACTAGGAATGTGCTAGTGCTGTTCGCTGGGAAGACTGAGGCCATAGGAGATGCTGGCGCCACCTGGTCTAAGGATTGCTGGAAAACAATCTGGCAAAACTAGCCTCAGTCTCTCCACCACGTCAATTTATTGTGTTACTCAGAGCTATGACTATGAAACTCCCAAACCCACAATCAGTTTCACTGGGGATAACTGAGTCCCAGTGACAGTGTTTGTCCATTTATATCTGCTCCTCTTCTAATGACCCAGCAACTACCTCAGAATATTATGTTTTTTGCTCTCTCATCAATGTAACTTATCCCAACTTCGGCTGATTAATGACCCATCTTGGCTTGCGAGGTGCGTGCTTTCAGCCTTAGATCGTCTTCATTTCCAATTCCTGCTCTGCTCTTTCCTATTAGGGCAGAGTCTCTAGCACTTCACGGGCCACTGGCCAGCAAATGTTTACTTGCTCTTGGGTCAGGTCCCCACTGCTGGTTCCAATCAGGTGTGCTGGGGTAGCAGCATCAGACATGGTACTAAGGTATGGAGATGAGAGCTATTCCTGGACCCCTGATCTAAAGGCCTAAAAGGAAAAACTCATTTCCTTGCCTTCTCTCCTTTCCATCAAGAGGAGCACTCAAAAGGCTGAGAGATCACTGACAGTGCCTCAAGGGAACCAGAAACAAAGGCTTTATCTGCTTTTGATTAGGACTAAGGAGAAACATTTGGGGTTCAAGGCTTGGGAAGAGATCTCTTTTGGGATCTTAAAACACTTGGTTAATCAGAAATTTTAGTCAAGGCAAAATTTGTTGCTACTCTTATATTTGAGGTCTTGGGCATTTTCTGCTTAGAATGGCTCTGAAAACCCTACAGGAATGAGGATAGGCCAGAGGATGGGGGCTGGAGCTGCCAGTCTTAAAGCTTGTTTCTGTTTTAAAGGAGAGAGAAAAGGCAGGACCTTCAGACTTCACCCTAAATTAATTTAAGCTAACTTCCCATAGTGGGAGGTAGCAGGATTCAGGCCAGAAGTTGCCATAGTTAACAACTGAGTCACTGCCTAAGACGTTCTCTGGTGGGCTTTCTGGAAAGCGAGAAGGTGAGCAATAAAGTTCATCAACTGTGATGGACAAGAAGGAAAGTTCTGACCAAGATAAACACCATAAATCTATGACTAGAAATCTGTCCTCTGCCTTTTGAGCTAAACGATGGCATGCTGAGATTGGAGCTCGTGCCCCCAAGCCTCTGGGCCAAGGTAAAGAAGTTCTTCTGACCCGCTCCCCTGCAGCCTTCTTCCCTCCAGCAGACCCTGGAGCTCAAGCTGTTGGCTCCCAGGGCTTCAGTCATTCTTTTGCCTGGGTTTCTGCTAATCCCAGCCAGAGAAGTATAGAGCAGCGTTTTTCAACCGCTGTTCCGAGGCACACTAGTGTGCCGCGAGATGTTGCCTGGTGTGCCGTAGGTGCAGACAAGACAAGAATTTTATAATTTTTCACTATTTTGTTTACTTAATATTTCATAATAAAGTAATTATAAAATACTTCCTTTGTGTTTATTTGATTCCTATTCAAGAGAATTACTTTATATATAGTCAATATAGGCACAGAGTTAAATTTTTTAACATTTTCTAATGGTGGTGTGCCTCATGATTTTTTTCATGAAACAAGTGTGCCTTTGCCCAAAAAAGGTTGAAAAACACTGGTATAGAGGATAGGATTCCCTCCCTCGTCTTCCTGCCCACCCAGTCCATCTTACCGCTAAAATCCATAATAAAACAGATAAGGGTCTAGAAGTCTTAAAAGATTTAATATCACGTTAATGATGGGTCTTTATTGAGATGTGAATGGCACTGGTTGGCCTGTCCTTCATGAACTCACCACACTGCAATCTCTTGGGAGCCCAGTGACTCCCTCCTGCCCACCATCAGGAAAGGACACTTGAGATTAAACATAGACCCCTTTGTCCCTGAAGGCTTGGGGGCCTTTATTTACATCCTAGTGATCTCCCTCCCCTCAAAAAGAAATAAGAAAAACAATAATAATGAAGAGGAAGAGAGGCAGTACTATGCTTACTCTCAGGCCGGTGCTGCACTAAGCTTCAACATACATATTTTATTTAATCCTCACCACAGCCCGATGAAATAGATAGTATCTCTATTTTAAAGGGACACTAAGATGCTAATAAGTTTGCCTAAAGCTACAATACAAAGCAAGTAAAGAGAAGAGCTAAAATTCAGTCTAAGCTTTATCTGACTCCAAAATACCTTCATTTTTGTAAAAAAATATATATTATTAAAATATCTATGCCCCGAGGAAAGGATAAAGAAGACAGTGAGAAACCACACGTAATTCCATTGCTGGGATATAATCACTGTCAACATTGGGTACATTTCTTTGTAGACCTTTCCCCCTAAGCATCTACACAGATACATGCATATACTAAGCACGTATTAGTTCATATATCAAGTAAGTTTTTAGCATCTGCTATGTTGTAAGTCCTGTTCTACATATTGGAGTATTCCAAGTTCCCATTCCTGGAGGAGCTTACAGAATCTATAATAATAAAAGCACTATATGCTAATTAGACCAGATGTCCTTCCGGATGACCTTCTGTACAAACCCAGGGCTACGAGGCAAGCCCAGGTCCTGGGTGCCTGCTGGCAACCAAAGGGAAACCCAGCTCCTGGGTGCCAGAGAGAAGCTGATGCCAGCAGCCACGGGAAGGAAGGCCTATTCTTGCATGAATTACGTGCATCAGGCCTCTAGTCAGAAAGTAAACATATAAGTGAATAGATTTATGCTATAATATGGGTCAGCATCCATCCACAGCTATGGATATTGTATCTGTCATTTCTGGAACTCGAGCACTAAAAAATTTGGAGAGTGCCATTGGTGTAGCCTCCAGTCCTAGCAAATTTAAAAAACATTTTGGCCTAGTTTTATGTTAAAAGTTATTCTTTAAAAAACAGAGATTTAAAAAGAAGAAGAAGAAGAATTGAAGGCACAGGAAGCCAAATAGCTTTCTCTAAATTTCTCAGCAAAGCAAAAAGACAAGCTCGGGTCTACCTAACTCGAAGCCCTCGCCTCAGCCCTGTCCGTTGCACTCTGACTCACTCTGCCCTGCTGCCATCACCAGCCCTTCCCAAGCTTCCTCAGGCCTAAGAGCGAAGCAACAGCTCTACCGGGAACAGTGTCCACTCTGAGCCAAAGCCTCAGGGCTCCATGGAGTCAAGGCCAGGGCCTTCCCACCTTTATCTCCAATCTTTTCTTCACAAGCTCTGTGAAGCCACACAGGCCACTTCCTATCCCTCTACATACCCTGTGATTTCCTGCCTCCTGCCAGCTCCTGTGCCCCTCCTGTGTCCAGGTGTCCTTCCTTGCCTCCATATGCTAGAGTCCTTCCCACTCTTTCAAGGCCCAGCTCAGGTGCCACCTCCTCCAGGAAGCTTGGCCCAGTGTCCTTGGGCTTGCCCACCTCAGAACTCCTACAGCCCTTTATCTGTCCCTGTCTTGTGAGCATTAATCCTTACTACATTATATCTTGTCTCACCAGATGGGAGACTTCTAGAAGGAAGGGGGGATAGTACCAGGCACAACCGATTACATAGGGTTGAAGGATGGATGGATAAATGGATGAAGGAATAGATAAATGAATTCCCTCCCTATCCCTGGCTTGGTAACCTTTTTAAGTTTTATTTTATTTAAACTCTGGAGCCTGTCCCAAGCTGACCCTAAGTGCCCTGAAATTCCCCAATGTCCCCCTTCCACTCTCTTGCTACTAGTCACCCAGTTCCTCCAACCCACCTCCATCCTATCCCCCTAAAGTTCTTACTGCAGGTTTTCTATAATTTCCTCACTCAAATATTTCCAGCTGAGAACTCACATAATAGGCATTTAAAATATAGTCATTGCCAGGGGGATATGCATTTTAATAGGACTTTCCAAAAGGCAGAAATCATATAGGTTTCTAGTAATGAAATTTTAGACACGATGATAAGAGGTGGGGAGAAACCCTGTCTAATTATCTACTTATCCCCTGACTCGTTAGCCTGTGTGGCCAGGTTTTCTGTGAGGGAACAGGAATTATCATGAGGAGTCTGCATCCCTGACTCCCACCCGCAGCCTGACACAGGAACTGAGAGGAGGACATCTCAGAGCCCCTGTCTCTGCTGAAAGACACTCTTGGCCAAGCCAGAAACCTCAGCCAGGATCCACTTAGAGCTGCAGAGGCCACAGCCCCCGAGTTAAACAGCATTAGCACGCCTAGTTCCTGCTCCAGCTAGATATCGCAAAGCCAAGAGCAGAGCCAGGGGCCCTCCCCAAAAACCCAGCAGGAGACAGGCAGCCACCATCTGCCTTTCTGGGCTCTGTCCCCAGAAGCAGGACATCAAAGGGTCCTAGTAGGGATTCCTGAGCTTGGGAAGGGACTGAGCCCCAGCCTGACTCTAGGGAAGTTGACCCTGTTGCCCCACCCAGGCAGGTCTTCCCAGCATCCCACTCTGAGAGTCAGGAGCCCCAGAGGAATCTTTCAAACTCTGGCTCTGCACTCACCTTTGGGTTCAGAGAGTCCATAAAAGATGGGCTGGTTTTGACTTGAAGGAGGGCAGTAAGTGCAAATAAACAAAGCACGGGGCTGGGTTCCGATCCACCTCCATCATTACCAGCTGTGTGACCTTGAGCACATGCCCAACTTACAGCAGCTTTCACTTGCTACAATTTTATAATAAAGCAGTA